AATTTCATGAAACTTTCACCAGATCTTCATTACGTAAAGTGGCATTGCAGATCTCTTGTTTAACGTTTCGAATGGACACATATTTGGGGTTTTCTACTGGACACTGCTATTCTTTTTTTAGGGTACCCATCTCTTATCCGGTCCACAACCCCTTCTATACTAATAATAAAAATTCAATGAAACTTTCACAGAATCTTCATTACATGCACCGTGTCATTGAGCAGCTCCTATTTTATGTTCAATTTCGGGTTTCCCATAGCAAAAAAAAAAAGGAATTTGCCATTATATTCATATGGGAACGGGGTGGGGGTTATAAATTTGTGAGCTCATTGCTCACAGTATCTCTAGTTATAATGTATTGTTATGGGGTGTCCGTCCTTCCGTACATCCGCGCCATTCTTTAATTCTATAATATTGGGGGTACCCATCTCATATCCTCAACTCCTCCTATTCCAATGAAGAAAATTTATTCAGACTTTCTCAGAATCTTTATTACATGGTGCCATTGTGGTCTTCTATTTTATATTCTGATCAAACAAATATAATGTAGTTTCCCATTGCAAAACATGGCCTTCGCCATTATACTCATACGGGAGCATGGGGTTTCATTTTGTGAGCTCAGTGCTCACATGCATTACCTCTAGTTTCGTTTAAAATCGGTAAAATCTTTAAGACCAAATCATTTACATAAAGAATTATTAAGAAAATCAAAATGAATTTGCAGATTGTCAATTAACGACACGTTTTTGTCTTTGCAGATAAGAACCTCAAGTGTTAAGTACATGTACCAGTATCTTAAAAAGTAAAGTTAAAACCTTTTGTAATGATTTATTACCTTAGGACTAAAATTGAACATTTCTAAAGAGCTCTTCTTCACCATTTTTGCTCTAGCAATAACTTGAGAAAAAATACTGAGGGGAGGAGGTTTAGTTTTCTCTTTCGTTCACACCCCCGTTCCATTTCTGTTCCTTTCGCCGTGGTCTGAAGGGGGCATTTTTCTCTTCTTTTCTTAACCTTGAATGACAGAAAAACCACATATTTAAATATTTAACCACATATTTATTGGCAGTCTGATTAAAACCAGCCGCCCTTCTCCTTTCACTCGTCCTGACGAGTGAAAGGAGAAGGGGGGCTGGTTTTAATCAGACTGTACAAAAGATGAATCCAGATCTGATAGGAATATTCATGTATTTCTGATTAGTTATCGTATCTGACCAAAAAAAAAATCCTCAGACGAAAAGGGGGGCACCATCCGTAGTTCAGGGCCGGGTTTCACAAAACTATCGTAAGATTTGTCCTAAGATAGATCTTACGATTATTTTAAGATGTGACTTATGACAATCATAAGATTTGTCACTGCTGTTTCACAAAACTATCTTAAGTATATAAGAAATCTTAAGACAAGTCTTAGGACAAATTCCATTCTTCAATATCACAGGGAATTTTTTAAATACGCTTGCACGAAGTTTAGTTGTCTTTCTTTAATTTTCTTTGAAATATTGAAATAATAGCGTGTCTCATATAGTTTCTTTTGCAGATATACCCTTGGAAAAAACATCTTATTGCATCAACTTTAATGTACTTTGTGTGTGTGTGGGGGGGGGGGGGAGGGGAGGGGGGATCATTACGGGTGTTGCTAAAACGCGGAACGGAAAACGGAAAATATTATGTCTCTTTTTCACTATGCACAGGTATAATTCAGACATAGGCAGCGATATTCTTTATCTAATACATGTAGTTCATATCTAATTAAAAGCTATTGTAACAATGTGATTTATTCAGATTTTCCCTTCAAAACATGCGGCATATACATGCAATGGTCAATAAAATGCACAATAATTAGACTCACATCCATAACATGTCTCATTTATCACTCATCCAAATCTGAATTTAAAAAAATGACTTATTCGTCAAAGACAACATCATCATTATTGATTATGAAAGGGAAAATGTTGTTTCGAAACAGGCGGAGTGAATGAGAAACACAGAGTATATTATATTAATTTGTGTTAGAGACAACGATCACTGGCATAATTGAAATAGTGGAGATAACGAACAACATTTTAGCTCAAAAGTCCATTAAACATTACAAAATTAGAGCAGAGCAAACACGGACCTCTTAAACATCAGAGGTGGGATCAGGTGCCATGGAGGAGTGAGCATCCCCTGCCGTCCGGTCACACACCCGCCGTGTGCTCCTTGTCATGATCGGGAAATAACGGAAAAATCCGTCGAAATTCAGTGTGTAAATAATGGCCTAACAAATAGTATGAAAAAAGTCAGTCAGCATTTGACTTATTGATAGATTGTATTTGCTGACAAGGTCATTGTGTCAACCATAGAACTTACAAAATGATGACTTTAAACTAGACTGCTGATATTCTTGTTTCATCAACTTGTTTGTCAATAATTTACCTCGTTTTAGAAATTGGTCATACGTAGAGCATGCTCTGGCGTATCGAATCAACTCGGAGATATAAACCCCGTATGCAGATGATAAGGGTATATTGCTGCATAAGTAAGGGAAGTTGACGATTGAAAAGTTAAAGTCATTACGTTTATCACAAAGCTTTGTTGTAAGATTATCATTAACGTCTTTTTCTAATAAAATATCAAAATATGAAACAGATGTGTCAGACTCTGTGGTATCTTTTATCTCAAGCTCAGCGGGATATATCGTGTCGACGTAAGAATGGAAATAACCATTGTTAATTGACAATACGTCGTCGATATATCTAAATGTCGAGTTGAAGGCCACAGCAAGTGTTTTGTACTTTTTACGTAAAAGATTTTGAATAAATTCTGCTTCATATGAATTCAAAAATAGATCAGCTAATAATGGGGCGCAATTGGTACCCGTGGGAATTCCAATAGATTGTTGGAAGAATAAAGGATACAATTTTTAAAAAATACACTACAGGGGTGTTGATGCAATCCATAGGGATCTGAAACGGGTATTTAAGAAAGATAGCATACATGCATATGGTGAAATTGTGCAAAATAGCACAAACTGATTGCAGAGAATAACGTAAAGATGGATGGGGAAATTACATATTTTCGAAAAAAAATTAGAGTTGTTATATTTCAGTATGGGGGTAGGAGGTGCAGAGATGTACGTTATCTATGCTTAAAGTGCATGGGTACATATGCATTGAAAGTCATGGGATTTTTCGCTCACACGGCTCATAAGGATATCGAATACCTGTCGTTCATATTGATCAGAGTGATCATCAATGAAGTTTTCCCACTCATCCATATTTTAGCGCAACATGTTTAGATATTTTTTGTTCCGTTTTTTTTTTCCGTACCCTGTGCTTTGTCTATTTTCAGAGATCTTCATGATTAAGAGAATGAACATGACTAAATCAACTCGTATTTTAAAAATTAAGGATTAAATATGAAAATTTTATATGCTGTACACTTTTTCTGGTACGATTTTTATATTTAAAGTGATTTAACCTCGAATCATATTTTCCATTCCGTTCCGCCTTCCGTTCCGTTTTCCGTTCCGCGTTTTAGCAACACCCGGTCATAAAAACTAAATTTGAATTAATTTCGTCACAAAAAAAATATTGAATAAAATTTGCTTAAATGTCTTTTTGCTCAGAAAATAGTTGTTGCTGACGTAATGTATGTGATACTACCTTCAATTAAAGCTAAAAGGGTATATGAACCTTTGCAAATAATGAATGATTTTTAGCAATGAATCCTTTGAAACACCAAATCTTGTTCAAAGCTCGTTCATAAAATTCGATGAAGGTGTCTCTGAAACGCTGTAACTACTGCAACAAAATAACAATGCTAACAAACGAAGAAGAGAAACGAAAGAACACTTTCTAAACAAAATTTTACAGTTTCAATACTATTAAGAAAGTATGTACATGCAGGATCAAATGTTACAGCAGTAATTATATTGAATTTTCATACACATTCCGGTGGATTAATGAAGGATACCGCAAGAATTAAAACTATTTGATTTTCATCTAATTTTGTAAGACTGAAAGAAATGTTTACTTTCAAATTTCTAAAAAAAAAAAAAAAAAAAAAAAAAAAAAAAAAAAAAAAATCACTACAATGTAACAAAATAAAACAGATTTTTTTTTTGTTTTTTACTTTCATGGGCGGGACTAATCCAATCTATAAAAATGCATATATTTCGAATTTTTATGTATTCAAAGTATAACGTTAGCCATTTTTAGAATTACATAAATTAGCAATGTTTGGTCATAGAAATTGTGATATTCTTGCGGGGTATTAAATCCAAATTAAACAATTTTGAATAAAGTTATATATGATATCCGGATCTTACATACATGTACATATATACATGGCTTAAGAAGCAATTTTTTTTTGGGGGGGGGGGTGCAATTTCAGTTGGGAGGGGGCACAACCAAAGAAAAACCTTGAAATGAATAAAGTGGCACAAACATAAAGTATGTACATTTTAGGTTTTTATCGTATATTTATTGGCAAATTATTTGGGGGGTGTCATTGTTCCGACTTGCCTGATATAGTCCAAAGGATTGTTCTGTCTCTAAAAACCGTTTTCTTTAAATATCCTTCGATCGGTTTTTAGCCAAAAGATATATTATACTGTCACCAGTTTCACTTTAGACTTAGACATGTATCTAGTTGTCTTAAGATTATGATAGATCTTAAGATTATCATAAAATATGACAGTTTTGTGAAACGGCTATGGTGCAATCTTAAGATAATTTTCAATCTTAAGACAGATCTTAGTCATAAAATAGTTTTGTGAAACGGGCCCCTGCAGGTGTCGATACAAAAATGAAATTGTAGTCATTTTAAACCTAAAGCATTGAGTACATGATATCTATGATATATATTTGCATATTACATTTTTAATTTTTTTTTTTGAAAATGTGGACACGTGCACTGCCTGTTGATATCAAAATTAAATTTAAAAAAAAACTAGTCATGCACATCAATGAGAACCCGAGGTGTTCCGAGTGACTGACCTTATTTACAAGCTGCAAGCTGCCTTATCGCTACTATCGGCCTATCTCATCACATTTTGTGGTAAGAATTAAGAAATGGCGTTTCTGAGAACTGGACTGAGGGCTAGGAGCCTCTATACTGCCCTCAGAAACAATGCGGCGTGCATGTCATCCATTCCACAACCAATTGTGAACCCCGAAGTCAAGTACAACAAGGTATGTGACTAACTGTTATGTCAATTTACTTAATTAGAAACAATTAACACCTGTCTCTGCAATAAGGCCTACACATATTCTTGATATACAGTTTTATTGCAGAGATGTAGAGTACATAATTATTTCATTGTTTAAAATACGTCTCTGCAGAAATAAGAGTATATTATATATATACAATGTATAGGCCTACATACACATACATGTACGTAGTTAGAATGTCAATGAGCTGTGTATATCTGTATATGGGACAATTATTTTAAAGTTTGAACATTCTGTCCAAAACACCTGTGTCTATTCAAAATGCTTTGTTATTTAATATGGTTCACTTTTGTTTTACTGCAGTGCTAATGAAGAACTTTCAAAAAAAATGAATGAAAATTGGAGGATTTTTTTTTCATTGGATTCAACACTTGTATGCTATGTTATACACTTGTACTATTCTTATTTACTGTTATCTTCCCTGAAACTTTTGAAAGATGTATTTGGTATGTACATGCATGCATGTTTACATGCTTCAAGATGCATATATACCAGGGATCTATGGACTATACTTAGAATATAGGTCCCTGATATATATACATACAACTGTATATGTGCGTGCATGAGAGATACATGTAAATCAAGGGACATTAAACTTCGTCATGTAATGTAATCTACATGACCAGAGAAAGGAAACATAATGTTCAAGTTAGTTTTGTACAAACAATGAAGACATTGATGAGGAGCATCGGGGGAAGGGTAAGATGGGGGAAATGGGATGAGAGTTATAGAAGAGGGGAAGGCTGAAGGGAGGATTAGGTAGGAGGGAGAAGAGAAGTTTGTAGGATGGAAGGGGAGGAGAGGGATTAAGTGGGTACCCCCTGTCCACTGCACCTAATAAAATATTATGGAAATTATATTTCCTTCCAAAGTGAGTCAGTCAATTGTAGATAGCCATAAACTTAAGACTTAAATTGAAGCCACGGTGAAAGTTTGCATTTAAAATGACTCTAAGGACATTAGTTTTCCAGTTTTCAGAACCAGTGGTGGAAACAGGAATTTTGAAAAAAAAAAAGGGGGGGGGTGGGGGAGAGGTTGGTGGTCTGGGTGCCATCTTTAGGCCCCAAGGCCCTGGTGTGGCCCTTGTGAGCTTTTAGGTTCAGGAGTTTTATATCGAGTTTTATATGTTACTTATTTTAGCTGCATAATGTATTTTATAAATAGAGTTTTTTATCCCATGTTTACCCCTTTATCCCGTGGATATGACTCATTGGATAAATTTTTCATAATCCACAGTTGTGACGTCACAATGGTTTTTGCGTTAGCGCGATGAAGTAAAATAAAGTGGAGTCCTATATAAAACAGTGTAAAACATTGGTTGTGAAGTATTAAACATGGGATAAATAGAATCTCCCATGATTTGTAGTTGGATATGACTTTTATCCAACTCGTTCTGTGTTTTTATCCCCTCGCCAAGGCTCGGGGATAAAAAACACACAACTCGTTGGATAAAAATCATATCCAACTACAAATCATGGGAGATCCTATATATATGTAACATATTTTAGCTATATACATTATGTTTAATAAATGCAATATCCAGCAACAAAAAGTTGATTCATAAATCTTATGTGACTATATTTCTACCAGTGAGGACATTTGTTTTGTCATATCTCTTTGGTTGTGACAAAGAATTGTAAAAATCTTTGAATGATTTCAACATTCTGAATTCTTTTTAAAAATATTGCATTACAATCAGTGCATCATTGGTAACTTACAGGTTTTGTATTGGAATAATTGAAAAAAAATAAAATAAAACAACAACAAAAACAACTGCACAGTCATGCAGTAGGGAAGTTAATGTGTGTGTATATATTGACACAGTTTCCTGTTTCATACCTTCCTTGTCCTATAGATATGAAAATTTGTTTAAGATGCAGTCAAGTTGTTTATGTTTAAATATCTATTTATGATTTGATCAGTTTAAAATTCATAAAGTTGTTTATAGTCAATTACCTCAGCTAATCTCTTCTTTTCCGTCTTTCTATACTAGGTGACATGAATAAAAAGGTCCAAATATAAGTTGTCAAGGTCTTTATTGAGTGCTCAAGGTTATAAAGGGTATGATATATCGTATACAAAGTGTTTTACTAGCAATTATTTGATAATGATTCTGCATGCAGCCACTTCATCTGAATTTCATTTTTACAGTTTTTAAGTTACTATACCGGGAGTAAAGGATAATGTTTAATCATTATTAAAATGGTAAACTCTTGCTGTAGAGGTATTAATTCTGATTTTATCATTATAAAGACTAAGAGAGATGCATTTTGGAAAATGCATTGTTTCAGTATTTGAAAATGTTTGGTATTTTCCAATTTTCATTGAATAGAACTACACATTTGAGAGGGGTTATTTCAAAAAGGTTCATAGACCTTTTTAATGGAATCTGGTTTAATGGCTTTATATTTCAAATCTCTGGCTATCACTTTACTGAGGCTTACAGTCATTGACTGATCCCTACAGACTGTAACTAATATACAAGGCCTTCATTAAAACACATTCCAGAATAGGATATCTTAAATTGCTGTTTTGTTTCATAGCATCAAACCATAAAAAATGATGAGGTGTACATGAATGTAATTATCTGTTATTGTTCATCGACCAAGAAAAATAATCATTGAGGAAAAAAAATTCTTTCTAAACATATTTTCACCAAGTTTTACAAAGTACCTGAAAAAGTTCATACATACCTAAAATCTTATTTATTTTCTTTAAATAATATTTTCATGTACCTAAACAATGAAGATCCTTTGTATTTATTGAGGATCTTAGCTGCAGATAGCAGTAATTAAAAATAATCTTTTTCCAGGTTTTTGTCAACAATGAATTCATTGACAGCCAATCAGGGAAGACTTTCCCCACTATAAATCCAGCTACAGGGGAGATAATTTGCCAAGTTGCAGAGGGAGATAAGGTGAGATTCTCAATGTTTGTTAGTTAGTTTTTAACGTAGTAAGTGTACTCTGGATCTTGATTTTTTTTCTTCTTCAAAACCACCATTTCAGAATGGACAGTGATGTGTGCAATGCAGAAATATATATCATCAATGTCCTGTATAGTTCACTAACCCAGGAGATTTTTTTTTTTTGATTTACAAAAATTGAACATGGCACATTACTCTGTCAGTTTTTTAAGCATTATTCTGTTGTATCAACAGCTGTTTGTCACATTTAAGATCTTTTGATGTGTAAGTAGTGATGATTTACAGCAATAACGTGTCTGCTGTAGGTCAGTTTTTAAATATGTTAATGTGGCCATTCAAAGACCCCTGCATGTTAATATTTTGTTCATGGTTGCTTAATTTTATGGATTTCAAGACTGGTATATTCATGCAATTAAAAAATATAAAGCAAAATTCAGAAGGGAAAAAACATCAAGATAAAAAATAGTTTTATTTGCTTCTTCAGCTCATAAAATTTTGCTTTTTGTGTGCATTATTTTAATAAGAATACATTTGTTACCTGCAAGTTGTAAGGAATTGAGACAAGCAAACAGGGAATGAATTGATATATAGGAACTCTCATGGTTTGTGGTTGGATGTGATTTTTTAGTGTTTTTTATCCCTGAGCCTTGGTGAGGTGTTATAGATTCTAAATTGTTCAAATCATGACCCCCCCCCCCCCAGGGGGTAGAATGGGGCCACAATTTATAGGGAATCCAAGTTTTACATTGAAATATATAGGAAAAATCTTTAACACAATAGTGGTGTTAATTATCATGTATTTCATATTTATATTTTTAGATATTTATTTTATATATCATGTATATTAAACCCAAAATGTTAAGTAAACAAAGAAAAACATAAGTCAGTATTTTTTTGCAATATATCGATATTTCTTCATATGTATCGATATGCGTATTGTCCTCACACAAAATTGCTATTATCGATATGTCGTCCCAGCCCTATTAAATAAATATACATTTACAATTCTATGGTCCTTGTTGTTTTCAATGCTATATCACACTGTGAAGGGAGGACTGGCTATACATAGAAACGTAGAAATTTATTTTCTAGAACATGTTCACAGCTCACCTATTTTTCTATTGTATGCTGTACTGCATACTATACAAATGTAAATATGTTCATGAATGCACCATTTAAATTAAACACATCTAGGTCGTTTTGCATTTTATTTTGGTGAAACTGTATGTTTTGGTGTTTCTGGGGTTTAAATTGAATGACAACACTGTTCATCTTATTGTTATGTAGCTTGAGGTTGCTGGCAGTCCCTATGTAGACAGGTTATTCTCAATTTAAATACATTAATGGTTCATAAATTAGTGCACTCAAAATTGAATGCAATTCCTCTCCTACATGTAAATTGATGAACATAATCTTGAATTAGCACATTTGAGTCTTTAAAACAACAAATATTTGTAAAAACCAGTTAAAAGCGTGTAGTACATAATATGTGGAATGAATCAATGCTAAAATATGATTTATAATTGCTAAAATAAGTATGTTTACATATATGATGTAGCTTTTAATAAAGGATGACAGTTAATGTATGAAATGTTAAAGGTGCAGAGCAGGAAATTGGTTTTCCTCACAAATACAGGCACACTGTTACTTTATACAAATTAATCTTGTCTTTATCTTTCTGTTTTGTCAGATTTATAGATTGTTTGTTTCCTTGTCATACAATATATATTTGTAAGAGTACGCCATGCTGTCAGCACAATACGGAAAGAATAAATGTATGACTAAAATAAACAATAATAGTAAAGATTGCAGAATACTTAGGTAACTGTTGCATTGCTTTAATTACACAGTGTATATTCAAGGTTGTTGTCATGTACTTGTAGAAAGATGTTGACATTGCAGTGAAGGCTGCTCAGGACGCTTTTCGATTGGGGTCACCATGGCGACGAATGGATGCTGCAGAAAGAGGATATCTTTTGAATAAACTGGCAGACCTCATTGAAAGAGATAGGCAGTATATCAGTGTAATTGATTTATCTTTCATGAATTATCTGGATTTTACATTATCCAGTCTAACCTTTGTAGTTAATCTTGCACGTCATGCTGCAGATCACATATCTTGAAAGCCGATGTTTTGAAATAATCAGCAGGTACACAAGTTAGATTATTAAGCTGTCTTTTCATTTGACTATATGTTGTTCTATATTTATAACTTGTCCAACTGAATAACTACGTGTTGTTTTGCTGTTGTTGTATAAAATGAATGTTAGAGCATTGTTAATTTAAATCCCAGTCATTCTACTTCTTGACCTGTCAGAGAACATACCAGTATTTATAAAACTGATTCTGTTACACAAAGCTTTTAAAGATTCATACCCTTCTCTATAGGGACTACTTTTAGGGATGAAAGCAGATTGATTTAGGCTGTACAGTTACACTTAATGTTGTTAAGCTACATGAAATTGTTCTCGAGGTTTTTTTTGGGGGGGTTGGGGGGGGTTTAAAAATTGAATTTAAAAAATATATGAGTAAACATAAAAAGGAAATCTGGATGATCCGACAGTATACAAAAAGTTAAAAGTATATACACAAGGAATGCAATACACAAACAATTGTAATGTATTGCAGTACAAATACTGTGTACTTATGTATCACAATATAAAATATTTTAAGCAATTTATCTTAATTATTTTTGAAATTCTGAAAAAAAATTTCTTTATTTACTTATGCTATTTTCTTTGTGTTCAGAACTTCAGAGCTTATTTTAATGTTTCGTAATGATTTATGAACTAGATGAAATAATCTACAACTTTGATCTTTTCATACTGTAACAGAGAGTTTCTCATTTAAGAACAGAAACATACAAATTTATTTTTTAAAAAAAGAAACTTAATAATGAAATATCATGATACGTATCATGATACAGTCCCAATATATCATGATATATCATGATACATTTTAGCCGTATCATAACAACTGTAATATACACATACACTACAGTATTTTAGATACTGATATTTTGTACTGATACAGTCTCTGTTTTCCAGTCCCTAGAGACCCTCGACAATGGTAAACCCTACCATGTGGCATTTAGTGCTGATCTCAATCTGGTCATCAAATGTTACCGCTACTATGCAGGCTGGGCAGACAAAAATGAAGGAAAGACTGTCCCTGTTGGTCAGTATCACAAGTTCTGAAAATTGAGGCACATGAAAGCCTCTGGTTTACTGGTGTCTCTCTTTAGCCATCTGTCTGTCCTAAAATTTTATCCTTGTCTATAGCTCTCCATTTATACCTTTATCTTGTAGTCCATACAATTTATATTATTATTTTGTAATGGGGATTCAGTATTCCTAAGTCCATATGTACAAATAACAGTTGTCTTTTACTATATACTTTCAGTGTCTCCCAAAATGTGCAGACTGTCAAAAAATCCTCAACCTAAACCAACTGCAAATCAATGAAATTGAAATATTCTGAGTATTTTCAGTTGATAGTATATATATAATTTTCTCTCTAATGCCGTTTTAACCATATCAACAGATTTTATGATTAGATGCTGTTCTTTTAAGATGGCCAAGGTCACTTTTTCTTGCATTTCCTAATATTTCTTGCATTTTTTCTCAAAATTTCGAATATTTTCACTATCTGTCTATAAATAACCAATATGAAAGGCAGCAGAAAATGATGACAGCGACTATATTTACAATACATTTTATAAGTTTTGACTTGTTTTACAAAAGAAAACTTATTTAAATCCCCAAACTTCATTTCAACCTTTGAAACATTTCAACCCTGTACTGTGCTCACTATCTGCGACTTGTAAAGACTGTGATTTTCACAAAAAAATGAAGTTCAATCAATCAAAAGCGAACTATGATGACTTGGATTTTCATAGCAGATATTATATTATACACATGTACAATGTGTATATCAAAGACCATTCAAAGTCACAAAAACATCAGTGTCCACAAACTTTTTGGACAAACCATGTAATTTTCCATTTAACAAACATGCAGTATTTGTCATGTTGCATGTGTTATTTATGTCATCTTTGGTCAGTTGAGCTTTGTTACCTTGGCTGTGCCTCGGTTGCCAATGGTTTTCTTGGGGTGAAAATTTTCAATGTTTCACTCAACTTTACGTGCAGTATTTATATAATGCTTGAGTATATTCCTTATTTTCAGCTGGTGATTATTTTGCTTACACCAGACATGAACCTGTAGGAGTTTGTGGACAGATTATTCCAGTAGGTTAAATTTTTCATTTAATGGATATACATGTAGTGTTCATGTGTAATATGTATTTAAATGCCTCCATGTGTAGGGAACAGAGATAAGAAACTGCATGCCATGGATGGAGTCCCATGGACACAAAATTATGAATGCATGTTTTAATGGTATATAAATGGTATATTGATATATGTATAAACAGAAGTGATAGTTTTATGGCTGTATAGTTAAATTTATCAGGATACATAATTTTGTGTTCCAAGTGCAACATTTTTCTTCCACTTAAGTACAAACCATTAGAACTGCACATTTTTGAGAAGAATTTTACATATATAAAGAATAGGCATTATTGAACCTGTATACTCAGTTGTACATTTATATGTGTATAACCTTTAGAAAACTTATATAAAATTTTATCTTTTTTTAAAATGAGCACAGTTTTAACCTGATTTTGATTGATAAACATAAGCATTTATTTATTGTTGTTCTCTTTAGTGGAACTTCCCGCTGTTGATGCAGGCCTGGAAGCTCGGCCCTGCCCTTGCCTGTGGTAATGTAGTGGTGATGAAGGTCGCAGAACAGACACCCCTGTCAGCTCTATATATAGCTCACCTGGCCAGAGAGGTAGGCCTCTGTATAATCCAGTTACTGTATATAAAATGGGAAGTATATTCTTTGTGAGAGAATATATGTTTTAGATATATATATATTTATACTCCTATATGAACATTATCAGTTGATTGACATTTAGAAGCTTATGTGATTGAAAGTTGTAAATCATTAAAGGGTATTTATTGCAAAATGCGGCCATTGAAACTGGAGTAGATTAAATTATGACAGAACTTTGAATTGTTTGTGCCAAAGTTACGAATTTTTGTTTGTGAAACACTTCAATGCCTGATTTTTCCTTATTTACTAAATATTTCCTGAATTATATTTTCACTATCACTTTGAAATAGAAAAATTTGATTCACATAAATTTAGGCAGCATAAATTTCTGATTTGCGAAAAAAAAACTTGATATATGGTATATCTTCTTGTTTTGTTCTATTTAAAAATAAAGATTAAAACAAAAAAAATATTGAAATATAAATTATAATTAAGACATTGATTTTTAAAGTCAATTTTTGTTTCGTTTTAGGCTGGATTTCCACCTGGTGTTATTAACATTATTCCTGGGTACGGCCCCACAGCAGGAGGTGCCATTGCCAGTCACATGGGTGTGGACAAGTTGGCCTTTACGGGCTCCACAGAGGTAGACTTTCGAGTTGTCCCATAGTGGACTGTATATTACTGTTAAAATCACATATTTTGGTTGGGTCAAATTTATGAGGTTTGAGAAAAAAATATTGGTTTGTGGAGATTTGATTTCGTGGTTTAAGAAGTTATGTATATGGAATTTTACACTTTGTTGTGGACATGAATTCATGGGTCTCTTCATACCTCGAAAACAACAAAAATTAAACCCCCACAGATATTACTGATTTCACAGTATTCACATGAAATTTTAAGAAATTTAAATTTGTAATTACAGACCTTGTTTTACATTAAATATTAATTTGTTTGGTTTTACTTTGTCTGACTTCTATATAGTCTTAGAAAAAGAAAAAGTAACAAGAGTAAATGCTATAGGCTTCTCTTAAGACTCATAAATATTGTCTGTAGATAAACACATTTTCATGTAATTTGGACTGATGATCAAGCACATTTGCAGCAAGTTTTATAATTATGACAACAGGAATATATTGTATATAATACAATGTTTTGATTGGATTGATAGGTTGGACAGATTGTAGCTCAGGCAGCAGCACAGTCTAACCTTAAGAGAGTCACCCTGGAACTCGGGGGGAAGAGTCCCAACATTGTCATGGCTGATGCTGATTGTATGTAAAAACAACTTTTCTTTAATCATTAGTAAATATCAGAGTTGTCTCCCGTTGACTGGCCATGCCACACTCATTTATCAGCGGGAAAGTAGGACACTCTGATAATGCAAAAAAGTTTTCATTTGTCAGATGAAGACTTGATCCAAATTACGTGTAATTTCTTAAGACTTCCATCTTTAGAACATGCTAAAACTGACACATACAGACTTGCTTTTCAGTGGATACAGCAGTAGAGATGTCCCACTTTGCTCTGTACTTCAACCAGGGACAGTGTTGTTGTGCTGGTTCGCGTACCTTTGTGGAGGAGAAAATCTACGATGAGTTTGTAGCAAAGAGTGCAGAGAGAGCAAAGAAGAGAACTGTAGGGGATCCCTTTAATGCATCTAATGAGCAGGGACCACAGGTAGCTTCTAGTACAGTGCACCCCCAACGTGTTGGGGGTCAAAGATTTAAATAGGATTATTTAGGAAGAGTATTTAATGCCTTCTTGTCAAGAGTAATTGCTACTGGGTAGAGGACTACCTAAGTTTCTGGAACTTGTGTCCAATCCCTTTGACATTTTGTCAATAAGGTATGTTCGCAACAAAATACAGTAAAAATCAGTTATAGCAAAGTCCTGGGGACCTGTGAATTTATTTTTCTATATCTGTAATTCATTATATCAGTATAAAGAATTCTTTAAGGTATATATAAAAGCGAGTTTTCCTCCATGTTTGACTACCAAATGTATTTTTGGAAGTATTTAATACCAAAGTTACCTTGGAGTTGAAAGGTTTTCGGAAGAATTGAATTTCAAATATACATACTTAAAAAAAGGATGTCAGATCAATATATTAAGGTTGAGATCTTTATAAATTTGTTATAAAAGTTTATCCTTCCATCACACTTTGCATTTAGCTCAGTTTCAAAGAAACTATTCAAAATATTTTTATCAAAGTTCATATGCTGATACTTAAACAATAAAATGTTTTGTTTGGTTGTTAGTACAGGAATTAATGTTGCCATTGTTGCAGAAAAAATACATAACCCGCGTAAGCGGGTTATGTAAATGTTTTCTGCAATAGCTGCGACGTTAATTCCCATACTAACAACCAAAGAAAGACATTTTATTGTTTATATTTATATCTGTATAAATAATCATTTAAAGTAGGATTAAAAAGATTAATTATTGTATTATTGATCTGTACGTCATAGTATGTTTCATTGATGGAACAGCCACTGATCAAGAAATCTGTACAGGTGATATGCCTAGTGTTGTTCATGAACTGATAAGCGGCAATGGTTTTCTTTAGAAATAAAAGAGAAAATATTCAGTGGATGTAAATATATATTGATGAGAGCTATTCAACTGCTTCAACATTTTTTGACCTTGACCTTCCCTTTGACCTTTGCCTCTTTTTTTTTTTTTTTTATCAAATTAGGTTCAACTCAGTTTCAACAAAACTATTCAAGATATTTTTATCAAACCTTACATACTGATACATACTGATGAGAACTATTCAACTTCATCAGCATTTTTTACCTTGACCTTTCCTTTGACCTTGATTTCACTTTTCTTAAATTATGTTTGACTATTTCAAGGAATTATTCAAGATATTTTAATTATAATTTATATGCTGATACATGTTGATGAGAGCTATTCAACTGCATCACCATTTTTTTTGTCTTGACTTTTCCTGTGACCTTGACCTCACTTATAATTATTGATTATCTCAATCTTACACAATGGGATTAAAAACTTTACATAGGAGTACTGTACAAAAATTTGTCACAAAATAAAGCAAGACCATCTGCTCATGAAGAATTTGTATTGTAAGAAGATTACCCAGTTAAACAACCAGAACCAAAGTTTGTGAATTTTTTCTTGCTTATAAACACCAATTTAATATCTCTTTAAACACAGTACATGTCACAAAAATTTAGTGATCGTCAGAACATTTGAAACATATTTTCACAAAAATTCCCAAGAACAGCAGAACTGTAATTAGTCAAAGTACTGTAATATGCAAATATCCCCATGTAGTGCAGATACAAGTTTCCTCTAATATTGACTCAAGATTTTAAGGTTAGGCCACAGTACTCGGGGAACAAAGTTTTTATATTAGGAATATGTAAACTTATACAAAGCACCATGTGTACATTTTGACATCTTGTCTCTAAACTGTAAATTAAAATTACTAAAATCATGAACTTTATGTTGAGGTCCACAAATGGGGTTTATCCATACCAGGAAGATAAAGACAATGGTTGAGCTTTGTTGCCTATGGGCCTTTTGTTTTATTCTTAGGTGGACAAGGAGCAGACAGAGAAGATCATGTCATACATTAAGAGTGGAAAAGATCAGGGGGCAAAGCTTGTGGCAGGAGGAAACAGAAAGGGGGACAAGGGATACTTCGTTGAGCCAACAGTCTTTGCTGATGTACAAGATGACATGAAAATTGCCCAGGAGGAGGTTTATAGATATGATATATGTTAAGATATTGTGCTGAAAATAAAATGATTATAAATGATTCATATATTGACAAACAGCATAGTGGCAGACACTTCTTAATAAAAATTCAAAATATTTTACAGATTTTTGGTCCAGTGCAGTCAATCATGAAGTTTAAATCAATGGATGAACTCATTGAGAGATGCCACAAGACAATCTATGGACTGGCTGCTGCGGTTCACACCAGTGACCTTGAGAAGGCACTTTATGTTGCCAATACAGTGAGGGCTGGCACTGTCTGGTAAGTACTCTTCGGGGGGGGGGGGGGGGGGGGGGGGGGGGGGCTCTTGTTCCCGACCTTTGCTCTCTTCCAAATTTCCCAGCTCCTGATGCATATGTTAGTAAGTTACAAAGACATTTACATCTACATGTATGTTCTTTGTTAAGCTTATTGCAAATGAGCATGTACATGAAAATGAATCAGTGACTGTTATTTTCATGGAGATGTTTATAATGTTGAATTATGATTTTTATGCCCCGCCGTGAATATGGCCGGGGCATATAGTGTTTGTCATGTCTGTCTTCCGTCCTTCTGTCCTTCCGTCTGTCCTTCCGTCACACTTTGGGTTTAGCTCAGTTCAAAGCTCAGTTTCAAAGAAACTATCCAAAATATTTTTATCAAATTTCATATGCTGATAGATATTGATGAGTGCTATGCAACTGCATCAACATTTTTTGACATTGACCTTTCATTTGACCTTGACCTCACTTTTATTAAATTAGTGTTTAGCTCAGTTTTAAAGATACCATTTAAGGTAGTATAATCAAACTTCATATGCAAATACAAACTGATGTAAGCTATTCAACTGCATCAACATTTTTTGACCTTGACCTTTCATTTGACCTTGACCTCACTTTTATTAAATTAGTGTTTAGCTCAGTTTTAAAGATACCATTCAAGATACTGTAATCAAACTTCATTTGTTGATACATACTGCTGTAAGCTATTCAACTGCATCAACATTTTTTGACCTTGACCATTCCTTTGACCTTGACCTCACTTTTCTTAAATTAGTGTTTAGCTCAGTTTTAGATACCATTCAATACAGTGTTATCAATCTTCATATCTTAATACATAGTGATGAGAGCTATTCAACTGCATCAACACTTTTTGACCCTGTCCATTCTTGACCTTGACCTCACTTTTCTTAAATTAGTGTCAAACTTCATATGCTGATACATACTGATGTAACCTTTCCTTTGACCTTGACCTCACTTTTCTCAATTTGTGTTTAACTCAGTTTTAAAGAAAACATTCATACTATTTTTATCTAACTTCATATGCTAATACTTACTGATGTAAGCTTTTCAACTGCATCAACATTTTTTGACCTTGACCTTTCCTTTGACCTTAACTACAATTATTTTAAATTAGTGCTTAGCTCAGTTTCAAATAAACCATTCAAAATATTTTTATCAAACTTAAATATGTTGATACGTATTTGTGAGAAGTATTCAACTGCATCAAAAACATTTGACCTTGAACTTTCCTGTGACCTTGACCTCACTTTTCTTAGATTTGCATTTTGCTTAATTTTTAAGAAACCATTTAAGATATATTTATGTAAGTTTATGCACTTATACATTATTTGGCGAGAATTTATCATCTATATCCAACTTTTTAAATTTCAATTTTAAAGAAACTATTCAAGATATTCTCATCAAATTTCATACACTAAAACAAATTTTCATGTTGCATTATATATCCTCGGCGGGGCATTCATGTCCTATGGACATATTTCTAGTTTTTGTTAATTACAGGGTAAACTGTTTTGATGTGTTTGATGCATCTATGCCATTTGGAGGATATAAGATGTCTGGTAATGGCCGTGAACTTGGAGAGTATGGACTGGAAGCTTACACAGAAGTCAAATCTGTAAGTTCTCATAGTTAACTGTTAGTATGGTTAAGGTTTAATAATTCTAAATCAAAACATTATTGAGGTAGCTGATTTCTGGCCTAGGAATGTGATTTTTATTTTCCTCACTTATAAATCTTGCCTTAATTTTTAAGAAATAAGTGTATCTTTGTAGTCTGTTGTTTACTTGTGATTAATTGAGGTTTTAATTAAAACATTTCAGGTTGTAATAAAAATTCCACAGAAGAATTCTTAAACACCAAAGGGTAGTTTGTTGATTAATTATAGAAAATGTGGACCTATCAAATGAAGTGAACTTGTACATTTACCTTTTACTCAGCAGCTGAAAATTCAGTTCTTTGTTATATATTTTGGTGTCCAGTATACACTGTTCATTATCCCTAAGCTTTATATTATACTGGTGTAATGCTTTGATATGTAGAAGTTTTAGTATTGAGCATTGTTGATGCTTTGTATTGTATGTATCATTATAACGAAAAAGAAAACTATACTCTGTACTAAATCTACCCATTAAAATCACTTTATATATGTGTTACAGAAAGAAATGTTTGCCATTTTTGAGTAAAAGACTTTGAATCATAGAATTTTTTTTTACATTTGTTTTTAATTATAAGAATCTGACAAGAGATTCGAAGTACTTTTGCTATACATTTTTGGCCTTTTTTTTTTTTAAAAAAAATATCTTTTTGACTGTGTATGCACCATCTTACTCAAAGTGTATGGCAGTAATATTTCTGTTTGTTTATAGTCTTTTTTTAGAAATATGTATACATAAGTTATGATCAGAATATTTTAAAATGACATTGATTGTTTCAAGACAATATTATAGAGCTTTAATTATACTTTCAAGGTTGAAACATTCATGCTTACATCATGTACATGGTAAAAAAGTTTTTGTTACATGAAAAATATTCAAATAAACTAATTTTTCTAGAATCTTCTTGTCATTTCATGTATCTTTTTGCTCTATAGTGAAATAATGTTTCCACGTCTCATTTGCACAGATATAGTTGATCCTCTATTGCCACCACCACAAAAAAGAAAATATACAGAATCCAATAATCATTTTGTGTGTTATGTATTGTTGTCTGTCCATTTATATTATAGGTTCTTCAGAATTTTGCAAATGAAGACCTATTGTGGGAATACATTTAACAGGTCAAGACAACTAGATTTTCTGAAATCAGCATAAATGTGCAAGTTAAATTAGCTCTCTGTTTACTTTACTGAAAGCCCATTCAGCTGAATGACTTGCAAGGCATTATGCGCCACAGTAACTACAAATTTTAGTAAGAACACAGTGTATTGAAAATAAATAGCAATTTTAATTGTCCCTTGGAAACTCATTTTCCATTCTTTTTCGTCACGTGATGAAAAATGCCTTCCATAAAAGGTAGTGTACCCAACTTGTTTATTCTTTTACTTCACCAACAAATGAAAATATCTTATTTGCTAATGTAAAATTTTAATGTTTACTAGTTTCCCAAAACTCATTCCACTTTCCGACAGTTAATTCATCTTTTACATTAAAATTTACTTTGCTATGCAGGCCCATGGATCATGAAACAGACTTAGACGTAAAAGTCAAAAATTTCAGTCATTTATAAAATCTTTAAAACTTGTAAAATGAAACTCTTAATTTGCTTATGGTAGCAGATTGATAATGCAAAATTGTAAAGCAAAAATATTTTTATTTTAGACTGTTTAACTTCTAAATAATTTCAGTGCCATATACATTTTTTGACTTAAGCTTAAGATGCTTCATGATCCCAGGACCAGGAGTGAACCGATTAATTTAAAATGAGGATAAACATTTCCCAGATAAGACATATTTTTTTGTAACTGACAAATGTAAAAAAAAATATGGTACCATGAATTCCAGGTAATTTGTTTGAAGACCATAAAATGCATTTTTCATGGATCTTAAGAATATAAGCTACGGGCTGTATTGAAAATCAGTCTAAATCAAACTGGAAAGCGCTACATGGCCATCTCATTTCCTTGTATTATCCCCAGTAAATCATAAGTGTACGTTTACCAGGAAGGAAGTCTTAAATTTTGTTATAACGAAACATACAAAATAGCTGTCACTGCGCACGTCAGGAATGTCTTTGTTTTAGGTAACACCAACAGATATTTAATTTTTTTTCCTTTATCCTCCTCGCTGCTTTGTGTCAGGTATCAGGTGGATCGTGCTAATTATCTGTTACCTCAACTGCGCAGTTCTTCGTACCGTCAAATCACACAAATGTAGTACGATCGCGCTCGATTATTAACCAGTCACGTGGTACTGTGTGCTTTGATCAAGTGTGATCAGCTGCAAATAGTAATAATTAAAGAAAATAAACATAACTTTACAGAAATTTAATTAAAGTAAATCCACATAATTAAATTTAATCCCTTTGAAATGTTATCAGTTTTATCTTTCAAATTGTGCAAGCAGTTAAAAGTACATATGGATTAATTGAATTGGCCTACTTTTTCAACTTTTAAATTGTTTTTGCTTCTCCTAGGGAAAAATGTGACTACGGTACATTTGATTATAATTTTTTACTGGGTAGGGTTAAGTTGAAACCGGTAACAGAAATGCCATAGTTTTTTTTTTCCATCACTTTGAAATATGAAGAGTTTTTGAACAAGAGAAGCGTAGGACCCCCCCCCCCCCCAAAAAAAAAAAGCTGACCCACGAGTAGGATTTTACCCCGGAAAACTAACGCAAGGGTAGGATTTCCTCCAAGGAAAATTGGCTCCAGAGTAGAATCAATATTTCTCCCTGGAAAACACACTCTAGAGTTAGCTTTCCGAGAGGGGAATTCTTCTCGAACTTCCAAGTCATTTACTAAAGTCTGTTCTTTTTTTTTTTTTTTTTCAAAGATACACGACTCTCTTTACCATTTCACGAGGGGTCCGTGTTTCCTACTGGGGAGGGGGTGTCGGACGTCATTTTTTTTCGTTTTTAAACTGAAAGTTCCAGGGGGTGTTGCCGCGACACAACCCCCCTCTCTAGAGACGTTTTCTTTGGATAAATACGTTATATGCATTGAAACATAGGACACGGGAAGTTTTTCGAGATTATTTAAGAAATATTTTAATTAACTTGCGTTTATCTATGGATAGAAATACATGTATCCCCTGTTCTCCAATCATACCCTCGTACTCTATGATCTTGTCCTTATATTTATAATTCAATGATCAACCTCAAGTAAAAAGTTGAGTACACCTAAATCACAGAGTTTGTGAATATTTTTGAAAGGTTAGTTTAAGGTTATATCTTGGATTTTTCGTAATACCTTGTGATTGTGTCATAATTTTTTTTTATTCAAAAACGTTGAAGAGCCCTTGAGGTACGGAATTTAGGGGGGGGGGGGTCCCATCCCAATAAGTACCTGTAAAACCAACATGACTCCCCCTGTACGGAATACGTAGTTACCTGTCTTCAAACACTCTTTCCACCAAGACTAACTTTGTCAGCGAATAGAGACATGTTACTTCCGGTGCGATTGATAGCTTTGAAGTAGTTCTCGTTGATTTTAAGCATTTGTTCGCTGAGAGTCATGCTTCCCTCTTCCATCTCTGAAGAAGGTTTTAAAAAGGTATCAAAACTGCCGGCAAAGTAAAAGGAATCATTTTGCTGATGTTGCAAAGAAAAATCAGGTGGCGTCAGAGCTTCAGTAACATCATGGTTGTTAGGTAGGATATCGGTCTTTGCTGTAAGGAGCGGAAAGTAACTGTACAATTATTTCCTTAAAGGAAATTTGACTTTTTTCGTGCACAGATTATTAGAAAGAAAATTTACTTGGATTTTTCTGGCTCCTTGTGGACGTATAGTGCCTTCTTAAAAAGAAAAGTAAGAATCCAGTTGCCATGGAAACTAATAGAAGTGAAAGTGATGTGGAAATGGCAAGAAGGTGGTCCTTGAAACGACTTGTCGCAGCCAAATCATTTTTGAGAGGACTTTTATCTGAAGGTGACACTGTAAATTAAATTAAATATGGTGAAGCGGTTATATCCAAAAACCAATTCTAAGAATACGTTGTAAAGCGTATGGTATTCATATTTATTGAAGAAATTTTTTTTTACCTTCCTTTGAGTGACCAGTAACTATTGTACAAGAAGATTGCTTGCATCCGCCCACACATATTCCATTTGCATTGTAACAAATACATTGCCCTAGACCCATCACAAGGTCAACAGGACGAATCTAAAAAATATTATAGAACTTTGTCGAACGTATCAAATATTAAATGTATATTTAAATAGATAAAAGACTGCTATTTTTTCATTTATAATAATATAATAATCATACACTAACCAATATCTTTATTCTGTCACCAGTTGGCTCCTTAAAACTGCTATACCTCTGGAAACGACCATACAATTGTCATTTCAGTACAGAAAATTCCTTTTTTTTTAAAGAGTTAATCAATGTTTATTCATTTGTTTAATGTACTCACCCACTGAAGTTGGTGTAATTTCTCAAAACTGCTATCCTAAAAAAGAATGAACTCGTAATGAAAAAAAGGAATATCAGAAATGAATAGTGTTTATTTTGCTATAATAATTTTAAAATTGTTATTAATATACACAACGCACTCGTTTTGCTCTGTTTCTTTCAAACCAAAAATTATCACAGAGGAACAGTCGTAATGTTTTGTCATAATCTGCATTGTGTTGTTTAGTGCTGTAGCAAAAACTGTGAATGTACTAACTAGTTCAATTAATTTATAGATCAATATTATTCCAAAAACCCACTAATAAGGAAATTCTACTGGAATTTTCCCACAGACGGGTACGGTTTTGTAAGAAGTGCACGACTGTGATGTCAAATTTCGTCATCTTAAACCGTTTTGGAGGCAGAGAAAATACGGCTGTGATCATGACATCATCTGAGTGACAGGTCATGGGTGTCGTCCAGTGCGCAGGTGAGCTTTGATCTGGGAAAAAAATCCAAAATAACTGTCCTGAGTCTTGATAATTCTTTAATAGTTTTATATTTATTATCATTTAGTCAGTGAAAATGAAAAAAAAATCTTATAAACGTACACAAAGGACAATTCATGTTGACAAACTACCTGCGATCTTTCCAGTTTTTGTTCTCAGGCGAGCAGCCACAGAATCGTCGTTAGTGTCGTACTTTATATCAGCTATTGGGAGAGAAACTATTCGGAAATCGTAGACTGAAGACTCAAATACTGGATAGTATGTTATTGCAAACTTGGTCTACAGAGTAAAAAAGTATGATTATAACACAAATACATTTTAAGAAACATAGTTAGAATCATGAGTGTATTTCAATGTAATGTGAAAAATACATTAAAATAATCAAAAGTGATTTAGAAATTTAGAGACACGCATGAAATTTAAGTAAATTGGATTATTTTATTTTTCTCAGATTGATCAAATAAGATTTGATAGTCACATGATAATCCTATTTAGTATTTAATTAATTACATGTTATATGGTTACTATGGGTATTCTCTGTGACATTGTAGAGAACAATCGTAGCTTTCCATGATTTTCAATACCATCAGCTGTGTCTTTTTGGTCAGTATAAATCGACCAGTTTTCAGGGAAGAACTTTAATCAACATTGGTGGTCGTTCAGTGCAGGTTAGAGTCTCTTTGATCAGGACCTAACCCACCATATTGGGTTTACCTATACTAGCTATTTAGTTATTACAATGTGCGCAATGTAATTTGTAACTTCCGTACATCTATTAAGTATTTCAGATCATGTTCATGTTTTTATATTTGTTATTTGAAATTAACTCATTCGAATTTACAACAAACAGTAAAATGAGATGAAATGTAGATCTAGAAAATAAGATAAACAATATGAAAACTATTATGTTATGAGGATGCCATTGTGTCAAATTTGGTTGAAATGTCATGGAGAACAAGCATTTTGAGAGTATTGCATTAGCAATACTAGTCCCCTACCGGCAAATGTAATCTGATTCCCGTTAAGAATTGAAAATGCCATAAATCCGTCAAATATCAATGGAGCGGAACGAAATGCAAACTTGATCTGTAACTCATCAAGGTAAAGTCACATATCAAAAATCAGCTCAATATCTGCAAGCTTTAGAGAAAAATTGCGGAAAACCCTGAAAAATTGAAAAGGTCGTAATTCCCTTAAAATCATTGAAGTGGAACGAAATGCAAACTTGATCTGTAACTCATAAAGATACACTCACATACCAAAAATCAACTCAATATCTGCAAGCGTTTAGGAAAAAAGTGCGGAAAACCAAGTGGGACAGACTGACAGGCAGACAGAGGGACAGACAGACAGCTGGACAGACGGACGGACAGACTCAGAGGAAACATATAGTCCCCTCCGGTTTTACCGGTAGGGACTAAAAAGACAACATTTGAGAAAAAAATTAACAGACAACAGCCGGACGACGGGAAACCCTTGGACAGAAAAGCTCATTTGAGAAATGGGCGGAGTAGAATTTGTTTTTTTATTAGTCCCCTACTGGTGAAACCGGAGGGGACTATAGGTTTCCTCTGAGTCTGTCCGTCCGTCTGTCTAGCTGTCCGTCTGTCTGTCTGTCTGTCTGTCCCTCTGTCTGTCTGTCAGTCTGTCCCACTTGGTTTTCCGCACTTTTTTCTTAAACGCTTGCAGATATTGAGCTGATTTTTGGTACGTGAGTGTATCCTGATGAGTTACAGATCAAGTTTGCATTTCGTTCCGCTTCATTGATTTTTGACGGAATTACGGCCTTTTTCAATTTTTGAGGGTTTTCCGCAATTTTCTTCTAAACGCTTGTAGATATTGAGCTGATTTTTGGTATGTGGCTTTACCTTGATTAGTTATAGATCAAGTTTGCATTTCGTCCCGCTTCATTATTTTTTGACGGAATTATGGCATTTTCAATTCTTAACGGGAACCAGATTACACTTGCCGGTAGGGGACTAGTATTGCTAATGCAATACTCTCAGAATGCTTGTCAATAAAGCTAACCTAGTCGGTTGTTAATTTTAGCCTGTATAATTTATTAGATAAAAAGGTAAAATTATGGTGTTGTTGTCAATTATTTTATTTAAGTTGGTTTTCAACGAATTAATCTACTAACCAGGAAATAAAACTCTAAAGGAAAACGAATATTTTTCCAAAAACCACGAAAATTAGACCCCGCGAAAATAAGTGATCTTACAGTATATGTATCTTAAGGTAATCTAGAATTTAAAAATATAATCCCTATCCTACATTTTGGACGTAATAAAAAATTAATAATTGAGGAATATAGCAAAATTTTGATTGCTTAAATACTGAAACTAAAAAAAGAAGGAACCTTTTTGTCCAAATAAAATGTCAGATAGGCCCCTGAAGATGAATTTCTTAGCTAAATGTAGCTTGTATCATCTCCAAATCCATTAAATCTTCAAAAATTTGATTCAAACAATAAATGGTAAGAAAAAAACATTGAATTACACTTTGTAAAATATTGATTTTAACAATTTTGTGAAAAGTTGCAAAGATTTTCCAGTTTATATTTCTTGTAAAGAATTTAAAAAAAAATACTTGAACGAGAATTTTTTAAAGTATTCCTTTAGCATAACATTAAAGGGTATATTTTAAGGAGTGATTAGGACTAAAACTTACATTGCTTACACGAGCATCCTGAATAAATGGATTGTACAAAAGGATAATACGGTGAGGTCCTGCAATTAACCATACCAAGATAGTATAAACTTTCTGGGATATTCAAAATTCTACCTTTTTACAATAATCCTTATTAATCTTTACAACTTTTTGTCACTTTAAATCACTTATTGTGAAACTTTGAAAGTTAATTTAAAATATATGTAGTTTAATTTATTCATTTTACTTCTAAAAACATGACAAGTAGTTTTCTTGATTTTTGATAAAGGTTTGCTTGTATCATTTGTCCTTCAATCTCTAGACAATGTAGAACTACCACCTCTGTCCCATTGTGACGTGTATGTTTGCAATACCTTATATTTCTTTCAAGCATGGTTTTATATGATCTTAAGACAAGTACATAACCAGTATTACCCCGCTTAACATCATTGTTCTGATTAAAATTTAAAAAAAAAATGATTGTGTGTCTCTGTAAACATTTTTTTTTAAACATCAGTATTTTGGACGTCTATTTACGCTAAAGTACGATAACGCATACGTTATAGTGAGTTGCGTTTAGAGGACTGTTAAGCTGGATGATGACACACTGGCGAAGTCCGCTGGCCAGCCCATCAACTCCATGGATTGTAATGAAAAACCCCTTAACGTCTCGAATGCTGCCTGTGGAAATTATTCTCAAACTGAGAAATACAAGTCAATAATATGTAGAGAGTAATGATCATCTTAGGTTAACACAATCGTCCTTAATTTACAATTTGCATGTATATATATATATATATATATATATATATATATATATATATATATATATATATATATATATATATATATATATATATATATATATATATATATATATATATATGAATTTTATATACAAATTTTTTTTAATTCCATATACATGTACGAATAATTAATTTTAAATATTCGAAGACTTTTTTGATATTCAGAAGTACATTAGTGAGCAAATATAGGTAGATTGTTACGATATAAGCTCAAATTGACACATTTTAAACTTTTAATATAACACATAACCAAAATTCACAATTTAAACAGAGTCGAGTTTCTTGTTGTATTCTTTACTAAACAAGCATAAAGGGGGAGTTTCGATAAGGCCGTTTTTCGGCCCCTCACGAAATTTTATGAAATTTTGATATTTTGTAGAAAATCTCCTTATCTTCCTAAAAATATGAAAATAATTTATGTTACGCATTTTCCGGTCACGTAATAATTGAAAATTCAAGTATACCCCCTTTCATATATTTTTGGAGTAGACATTTTTATATGGGGAAAGTGGATTTTTTAAACCATCAAAATCGTAAATGAAATAGGATAAATATGAATAAAGACATAAATTAACCAATTTCAACAATTTTTTTTTTACGGAAAATGGTAATTCTCTTATGCGAATGTTTTTTAAGGTGCGATATTTTTCTGGTGTGTCAAATGTTACTTCTCTTTAAATCAGGATGAATTTAACTTATAAAACGTAAACTTATATAGAAAGTTTTAACATCATAATTAATCGACAGTTTATACATAAACTTTATAATCAATATTTAACATTTTCCCATACGAAAAATGCAATGGAAAAGATGTGTAGACATGAGGTAGGTAAATGTAAAAACGTCATATACAGGTATATGCAATACATTTTTATCAATGGGGTCATACAATTACGTGTTTTATAAAAATATACCTTAATATCATAAAATTGAAATTAAATAAAATGTTTTGAAATAAAAAGATTAAACAATAAATGCAACTTTATATATATACACAAATAAAAAGTTTATTTAAAAGCATCATATTGCTACGTAAGCCGGTACATTGTAGGTGCAAGGTAAGAAAATATTTTATCTGACGGCCGCCACATAAATAAATGGCGGTGACCAGAAACTTATCTGGCGGCCGCCACATAAATAACTAGAAGCCGACACATAAGTTTCTTGTGGTGTAGACGTAATCTAATAAAACATAAATTTAAAGTTATGAGATGAAGACTTTATGAAGTGAATTTTGGTATAAGGTGTAGATTTGATCTTTGCTAATAAGGCATGAAACTCCCAGATTTGACTACAATCAGAAGTTGTAGATGTCGTTAAAGGCAGAGATTTTAAGCACCGCCTTCAAAAATACCTGGTCTGTGTACCTCTGTCAGTCAAGTGCATTTAGGTACATCACTGGGTGCTACAACTTGATTGGCAAAAACACTACAATTTTATCTGGCGGTCGCCAGATATTTCAATGACAGGCGCTAGAAACTTATCTGGCGGCCGCCAGATAATACATTTTTTTATCTAGCACCTTCAGTATATTACAATGTATTTGATAATATGAATAATATTAATTACAGTCAAAAATATTTTATCATTGTACGTTATATGTGAATAGCCAAATAATGGAAAAATCTATAATACATTGAGTGTTTCCTTCTCATTATGAAACTTAGAAGTATTTGCCCATATAGAACAGCATTATATGTTTTCAGCATAACTGAGATGCCAGCCAGGACTAATTTCGTCTCGCTTCCAAACTCTCCATAGATACTTAAGTTGCTTCACCAACTCTAGTCATTTCTCACTTAGAGAGTTTTAGAATTCATTATTTATGATTTGCTAGACCAAACCGCAGTTCAAAATACATGTGTAAACGCAAAAGATACGTGTTCAATCCTTAATCAGGCAGACATATGCGCCTAGACATCCAGACTTAAACAATCCACGTTCCCTATATTAACTATACGGAAATATATGGGCACTTCTCTAGCATGTTGTAGCGTGGATTTCTATTTACAAGAAAATACATATTTGTTCAGTCAATCGGAAAATGTAAGAAAGATCCAGCATCTGAACCATGTCTGGATGTGAGCAATCCTAGATGCATCATCAGCGCAAGTTTGGTTACGATAGGGCTTATAGTTACGTAAGAACGATAACCGCTTCAAAATCTTTAACCTGCTCACTCATTAAGGAAATGTAGGTCATATCCAGCATCTGAAGCAAGTCTAGTAGTGTGCATCTGTAGATGCATCATGAAGCAAGTCTGGTCAACAAGTGTTTACAGCTGCTCTGCTCCTAAAACTTAAACCTGCTTTTAAAACATTTACCTGGACATTCTTTGGCTAAAATCCAGCATCTGAAACCTTACTGGTGACAAGGAAACATGCTGGATCAGGTGACTCTGATTAATATAGGGCATAGATAAACTTGAAAAAAAAAATCTGCTTCAGAAACTTTAACCTGGAACACGGATGCCGACGGTATTACAAAAGCTCCCCCAACTTCGAGGAGGTGAGCTAAAAATGTGACGTTAACGTTATACGTTGGCGACAAAAAAGTATCGAAATGAAAATAGGACACGATAATGTTTTCTACTGTTAAAATAATCGAGAATCTTCTTTGATTTAAAAAAAATATGCTACTTCTGGCTTGGTATTTTAATACAGAGTCAGATCAAGAAACCAGAAGCTTCTAATTTTAGATATGCAAATTTATGCAATTTTCAATTTTTGGATATGAAGTGCACACGCGACACTCATCATATTTCAAGAAATTAGTGTGCAGAGTATATCTAATTACTGAACAAATTTAGGTGAGTGTCCCTCATGCACTTCATATTCTAAACATCGATTTATAAATGCCACCCTCTTATATTTTCCCATAAGCCTAATGTTAACGGATTTGAGGGTACATCTAAGTATGTATCAACTACGGTGTGAATTCATCTCATATTAACTTTTGAAATAAAAATAACAAAAGTTAACATATTTATCTTGAATTCTAAACTAATTTTGAAAAAATAAATTGAAATTTATTTTTATGAAAAAAAGTGGGCCGCTGAGCGGCCTTATCAAAACTCCCCCTTTGTCAAATACTCGAGTAAAAAAAATTAAAATCTGAGAGGCAATTCTACCACAGAAGAAAAGGTGCATATTAAAAAAGAATTAAAACATTTGTTACTATAATAATATATAAACTTTCTCAACGACAAATCCTGTGAAGCAGTATCAAGTGATTAAAATCCAATTATTTTTATTAGAAGTTGTTTTACGAAAAAGACGAAAGTGATGAATGAGGACATAAGTAAAGAATCATTCATTCATTATGCATTCGAGGTATTATATTGAGCAACCACCCAATTTTGTTTAAAAAAAAATTAAAAAAAAAAAAAAAAAAAAAAACTTAGTGAAAAATAACTAGACTAGTTAACATATGAGGGACCTATACTCCTCTTCATTTGTAATCATATATATAAAAATAACAAAACACATTAAAATAACAACAAAAACAGCGACAAAGACAACAAACAAAATAAACAGAATTTTAAAAAGTAAAAAAAAAAAAAACAACTTTTACACTTACTGTCAAGAGGCGGTTGCCAGTTAAGGATAAGTGATCGCTCTGTCATATTTATGGAACTGTGGAATTTTGTAGGTCTACCAGGCGATAGAAGATTTTTATTGTCCCCAAACAGAGCAGGAAATGAATTTTCTAAGTCCGACAGCAAACAATCTGAAAAAAAAATTCCTTTATGTTGTCTTCTTGAGCTAAACCAAAGAATATACACTTTTTTAAAAGTAACTAAATATGAAGTGAATAAATTTTTTGGAAAAAAAAACCGGAAACAATGTATGGAAGTGAATACATTTTTTGGAAAAGAAAACGGAAACAATGTATAGAAGTTTCGGGTCGAAATGAGAAGGTGTCAGGATAAAAAAGAATCGCATGATTGTAGATCTGGGATTTAGTGTCAAATTTCATCACAAAATTTAATTTGAATTTTATATGTACCGTTCTACAAGAATCTAATTCCTAACACTTTATTCAAGTTTAAAAACTGATGACAAGGTAATCCCTTGGATCGTTTTAGCATTTCATACTTGAAGTTAACATTACCTGTCATTCCTAGATATCCTGAACATTCTGATTCCTGAAAATAAATTAAATGTGTACATTAAAACACAGAAAAAATAATTAAAAAACGAACAATTTTCAATGAGAGAGAGAGAGAAAATAAAATTACCTGTGCTTTACAATCAATATTCACAAAACAGAGAGTTTCAATTAATTTACTATTAAGCAAAATCCAAAAAGCTAGAGCTCTTTTACATTGATGCATGATCTGAAACTTCAGTGCAATCATCACAGTAAACTTCACTACTGTGTGTGCACAGTTTAAGTCAAACATAGTGCCAGATGTGCAAGTCCATTCTGGTGACAGAATTACAGGCAATAAAAGCTCGGATCAGCACCTGAAGTGGTATGTACCCAGACTTGGACATGGAGGAAGGTTATTATAGCATGATTTCTCTGATATAAGGTACTTATATCCCCGATCACGTGATTACGAGAGACTACCGTATAATCACACGAGCACAAAAAATATTGATTTCATTTGAAAACGTACGCGGAAGGTGCTCTAAGAGCTCACAAAATATGAAGATTGGAAGTATCCTTGTAATTTCCACAGCTGTTCAACACTGAACGGTTTATAAATGACTGTTATTAAGATAGAATAGCCAGATTTCTCCTACTGTTTCCTCAACATCCTCATTAATTCTGTCCATTATCAGTTGAGTCCTTATTCCCTCTGACATATACCCCAAAGAGAGAATAGCTATAGACCGTCAGAAATTCTTCATAAAGAATGGATATGACAACGTTGAATTCTAGTATTTGACCTAATTTGACCTGTAAACATTGTTATCTGATATACCTGAAGAGCACACACATAACCCAGGGTTCTTATTTAAACCTTTAATATTCTTATGACCTATTTAACAAAGCGTGGTTGATACTGAAGTTTCCAAAACAAGTAGGTGAATAAGGGTTATAATCAATGAAAGTGTATATACTTTTTTATATTATAATTTAGTAAAATTTTAATAAGTACAAGAAGTCGATCCTTCAGACGTCTTTGTGCAATACTAACGAAGAAACCTACAATTTGCCTACATTTCAATGAGTACTTGGAATACTAATACATGTAATATACTAATACCTAAAATATGCAAATCTTTTAACGAAATTGGTCTTTTGTTGTCAATGTGAAAGAGTTCTTTGTAAAAGCTTCAGATCTATATTGTGTTCGAATCCCTGACCCTCGATATTATGTGGCATAAATATCACAGGTACAGGGCTGATCCAAAAGTCATGTCACAACTACTATAAAATCTTTAAACAAGATGTGTTTGTGAAACACTGATGCCCCCGTATGGCAGCTTATGGCGAAAGTGAAAGTTTCTCAAATGCAAGTCAAAATCCAGGTCAAAAGATACAAAATGTTGGTACCCAAAGAAAGGTCTTGTCTCGAGGAATATATCTGTGAAATTTGAAAGCCCTAACTGCAACTGTTCAAAAGTTCTGGCGAAGGTTAAAGTTTTTTAAAAGTAGGTAAAATTCCAAGGTCAAGGTCAAAGTTATTGATATCCAAAGGAAGGTGATGTCACAAGGATTACATATGTGAAGTATGAAAGCCCTAGCACCAACCATTCAAAAGTTATGGCCAGGGTTAAAGTTTTTCAAAAGTAGGTCAAACTCCTAGGTCAAGGTCAAAAGGTCAAAGTGGTTGGTATCCAAAGGAAGGTCTTGTCACAAGGATTACATATGTGAAGTATATATAAGCCCTAGCTCCAATGTTCTAAAGTTATGGCCAAGGTTAAAGTTTTTCAAAAATAGGTCAAACTCTTAGGTCAAGGTCAAAGGGTCAAAGAGGTTGCTATCCAGAGGAAGGTCTTGTCATAAGGTTTTCAAAAGTAGGTCAAACTTTAAGGTCAAGGTCAAAAGATCAAAGTGGTTGGTATCCAAAGGAAGGCCTTGTCACAAAGAATACTCATGTGAAGTTTGAAACCCACACACATCAACTGTTCAGAAGTTATGGCCAAGGTTAAAGTCTCATAAAATTTTGCAAAAGTGGTTCAAACTCCAAGGTCAAATTTGATGGTACCCAAAGAAAGGTCTTGTCACAAGGAATACACTTGTGAAATATGAAAGTCATAGCTTCAACCAATCAAAAGTTATGGGCAAGGTTAAAGTTTACAATAGACAGACAGACAAACAGACGAATGGACAAACAGACAAAAACAATATACCTCCGGGATCTTTCGATCCGGGGGCATAAAAATCTAATGTTATCAAGAAAAAATTATACATTAACACCTGTATTTATTTGATTGTTGCCTTAAAATTTCATTCAGATATATATGCAGTACTTTTACAAACAACGTTGGGTCTCGTCTATCGCCGCGCGCCAAGAATGTACCGATTTCCTTTCAGTTCATTTACAACTAAGATCTACACAAAAAGGAATTACTTAAGAAATAACATTTGGACAAAGTTCAAACAATTTCAAAACATCAACTCAAAATTTCAAGTTGATACAACAGTTTCTTTTTTATATCCCATATATATAAAGGATATTCAATGTTTTGTAGTTGGTTTTGGAATTTATTTTATGAATGGGACAGGTTTTTTTATGCCCCCGTAATCGAAGATTCGGGGGCATATAGTTTTTATCCTGTCCGTCTGTCTGTCTGTTTGTCCGCAAAAACTTTAACCTTGCCCATAACTTTTGATTGGTTGGAGCTATGGCTTTCGTATTTCACATGTGTATTTCTTGTGACAAGACCTTTCTTTGGGTACCATCATATTTGACCTTGACCTTGGAGTTTGACCCACTTTTGTAAAATTTTATGAGACTTTAACCTTGGCCATAACTTTTGAACACTTAGAGCTTGGGCTTTCAAACTGCATAAGTGTATTTCTTGTGAAAAGGCCTACCTTTGGATACCAACATTTTTGACCCGTTGACCTTGACCTTGGAGTTTGACCTACTTCAATTTTGAAAAATTTTAACCTTGGCCATAACTTTTGAGCAGTTTTTGCTAGGGTTTTCATTATTCACATATGCATTCCTTGTGACAAGACCTTTCTTTAGATACCAACAACTTTGACCCTTTGACCTTAAACTTGGAGTTTGACCTACTTTTGAAAAACTTTAATCTTGGCCATAACTTTTGAACAATTGGTTAAGGGCTTTCATACTTCACATGTATATTCCTTGTGACAAGACCTTCCTTTGGAAACCAACAATTTTGGCATTGACCTTGACCTTGGAGTTTGACCTACTTTTAAAAATATTTAACATTGGCCATAAAATTTGAACGTTTGGCTCTAGGGCTTTCACATTCCAGAATCATGTGTATCACTTGTGACAAGAATTTCCCTTGGGCACCATTTGACCTTGACCTTGCCGTTTTACTTACTTAAACCTTCGCCATATCTTTTCAACGGTTTTACTAGAGCTTTCATATTTCAGAGATATATTCCTCAAGACAAGACCTTTCTTTGGGTACCAATATTTTTGATTTCTTGACCTGGCGTTTGACTTGCGTTTAAGAAACTTTAACCTTCGCCATATGCTGCCATACGGGGGCATCAGTGTTTCACAAAAACATCTTGTTTTTTTATAAATATAAAAAATCCTGTCTCACATGTGAAATAAATTCCATATCCAACCACAAAACATTGAATTTTCGGTGTCGTAGGCTGGGACGTACGCACAAAAGCCCTGAATTCGAACTTCATGGGGGTTTCTAGGTAGAGCGGTTGTTGAGACGTCATAGCAGGTCGATTGCGAGATTAAAAATGTAACCATTGATTTTAACAACAATGTGGAGGAACTTCGTCAATTTTAGTCCGTATCAGGATAATTAAAATACCCTCGCTATGTTATAACAAGGACTACTTTTTAATAACACTTTCATATTTTTTTCACTGTGAAATAACCTTTTTTTCAATAGATAAATTACAATAATGTTATAAAATATGTAAATCTCTGACCCATTATTCTGGTCCTAGTCTTGGCCTCATGGATGCACTCTAAACTATGCTTTCATATACGAATTGGAAACACTTTCAATAAATATAATACTTATTACTATATGTTTCGGGAAGCATGTGTATCAAGACAAATTTTCTTTTTGTTTATCACAATGAGATTCTATTTGAAAAAAAAAAAATCCGTATACCTGTACATGTATTCCAGAGCAACCTTTACATCTTTGTTTCAGAAGCCATGAAAAGAATCGAGTCTACCTAATACGTACAATGTTATCAAACTTGTGCAAATATTCTGTTATTTCTGATTTAAAATTCATGGAATGATAAATGTTTTTTTATATCAACCTTTAAACTTTTTCTTAAATTTCTAAATTTATTTATTATTATTATTATTATTATTATTATTATAGACAGTGTTTTACATTTCGTCATATTTCACTTTCTTACTTGTAACTATAATTTACCATCAGTGAATTTACCATTGTGGACAGGGCTTAAATAGGCTATGCCTGCTGCCCAATCCACTTATATGTTCAAATCAAATCAATTTACTATGAGGTCCATGAATGTGATTACAGAATAGGACGCATTTTCTTGTGTTTGTTAAGCAAATTATATTTTATTTAAATTAATGATTTTAGATCTTCCACATGGTTTTGTATTTCACTTTTATTGTCATCAAAGAAGAAAACGAACAACATATAAAAGTATAAAGAGAAAAAAACTATATATTTTCATTTTTTTAAACTATGAAATTGTTATTGAATCTTTTCTAGTATAATAGAATTAGATATTCTCTCTCCTGATCAAATTTTGAATACTTTGCTATTTGGTGATAGGCAATTACCTGATAAAACTAACTGTTCAATTTTTGAAGCAGTCCAACTATACATCAAGTTTTCAAAGCGATATTGGCATTATTTCATATCTAAGTTTTAATATTAATTTCCTAATATTTTTTATATTTATACTTATTTCAAATCTCAGCATTTCCATGTATATATATTGTTTTTTTTTTTTTTGGATATTTGTCTTTTGCACTTTCATTTTTTTTTTTTATTATCCAGTGTTTTTGCTTGTTCCAGATTTATTTATTTATTATTATTAATATTATTTTCTTTGCTTTTTTTTCCTTGCATATTTGTCTTTTGCACTTCATTTGTTTACTTATTCTATTTTGTTGTTTGTTTGCACTCTTTTATTTTTTTCATTATATTGTATAGTGAGTATACATGCTAAGTAATAACTCTTGTGAATTTATTAATCTATCTCTCCTTTTTTTCCTATTTCTAGTTAACAAAAGAAATTAATGTAACTTATTATGAATTATTTCATCATGATTGTAAATCATTGTCAATTCTTAACATTTGTAACCTTGACCTTCTTGGAGAGGACTTATATAGGCCATGCCTGATGTCCAATCCAATTATGTAAACTGACTTTACATAATAAAATACTGATTTAAAAAAATCTTTTCTTGTAGATATTTTTAGACAAGAGTGTATTATTTTGCTAAAAAATATTTTAGACTGTTATATATATATATATATATATATATATATATATATATATATATATATATATATATATATATATATATATATATATATATATATATATATATATATATATAAATATTAAATCATATATTTTCATAAATGTATTGCAGTAAAAAGAATCTATTTAAATCAAACATTAAATGTTCTGTTTTTTCCTGAAAATCCTCCAAATATATATGATTTATTATAAATAATAA